AGGCCACATAGCTGGGGGTGGTCCTGTTGCCCTGGTCGTTGGCGATGATTTCTACTTTTCCGTGCTGGAAAACCCCCACACAGGAGTAGGTGGTGCCCAGGTCGATGCCGATCGCTACGCCTTTACCTGCAGACATCTTGGCTCTTTACGCTTTGTGTCCTGAACAAATCAGAAAACAAAATTAGGAAAGTTAATACGTATAGAGAGTGTTATACCTTCTGTAAGTGTGTTTATTTTCTAAAACATTTTTAAAAAAAAAATAAAAATAGCTCTCCCAGCACTGGAAGACTGACTTCTTAAAGATTAAATCACCAATTTAATTAAGCATCAATAAAGTCTGGTCCATCATAGATTCTCTATTTAATGTTTGTTTGCTATTTTTTTGCCAAATAAAATATTGATCACTGTAAGAAAATACTGGATTTAATTTCTCTCATTATGGTGAACAGTGTTTTAATTTAATGTAGAATATTACTTTGCTTTTTCAGAATCATTGCCAGTATTATTTCTTACTTTTTTATTCCATGTCTAATGTATCATACTTATATCTTATTACTTTTTTTTTTTTTGAAAAACATTTGGCAAGTTTCTATTTTATCTTACGTTAACACATTGTTATGGCTACTTTATGTTTTACTACCAAACAACAGAGTAATTATTACACTGCCGAAATGTGGAGAAGCCTCTAATGTTTTTGTATAAACACCTAAAATTGGTTTCACGTCGCTATTTATGAATTCAACGATTAAATCATCTTAAACACGGCAGTTTTCCCCCCAACTTTCTTTCCAAACACTTTATTAAGTGTTTAAAGTTGATATTATGATCGTAACCAAATTTCAAACAGCAACAAACATTTCAATACATATTCAAAACTACGATCTTAAATTAAAACGACAGAAGAAAACAGGTGTTGCTGGACATTAATCCACAGCAGCTTAAATTAGACAGTTTTTAAAGGGAGTTTGGTGAAGCGGTGAAATATGGGTAAAAGTAATGAGTTAAATTAACCTCCAGAAGAAATTTAGAATCGTACTTACTGTGGCTGAAGAGATGATAGAGTATGTCGAAGAGAAAAGAAGAAGTTTGTCTCCTTCCGTCTGTCTTCTTGTCGCTGTGTTCTTGTCTTCATGTCGGTGTTTCTCTGTTATTTTATATTTTTCTGTCTCTTCTCGTTTCTTCTCGAGCTTTCCGCTGAACCTCTCGTCCAATCACAGCTCGGGGCGGCGCTGTGCGTGATGACGTCACATGGAAGAAGTTTCTACTCGCTTCTGGCAGCGGCGAGAATCAGGTGGATCAAAATCTGGATGTTGCTCAGCTATTCACGTAAATGTACAATCTGCGCTTGAGTAACAACATATATTTAATGCCGTAATTTTCACAAGACGTTAAGGATTACTGCAAAGTAGTAAAACGTGTTTCAGAACACTTAACATTGATCGGAACACCTGGAAAGCGTAAAAATAAGACTTTTTCAAATGGAGTTCCGGTTAAAGGAGGATGATATATACTTTTTTTTAAAAAAACAAACAAACAAAAAACTGATTGGCATTAGTCAACACTTGTTCTTTTATGGGCATAATATTTACAGGTCTGATCATTAATCCATTTTTTAAAAATGATTTGAAACTTTACAATATATCCTTTATAAACACAATACCTATTTATTTACCTATTTTACCTATGTGAAATTAACTCATAACAACAAAAACCAAACTAGCAGAAAACAATCCATCAAAATAATACAATTTACACAAATACAAAGTAAAATAGCTCAAAGGTTATGCAAAAGGACGACAAGGAGGTGTTTTACAACCACATAGCTGAAAAGAGACCCAAAAAATGACTAAATGAGAATCAATAAGGCTTTAAACAGAAAACAACAACTACAAAGTCACACAAAACAGCAGCAAGATGATAAATGAAGACATACACAACCACCTAAAGGAAACACACAAAAAGCTTAAAAGATGCAAACTGAGTAAAATCTAAGAAGTTGGACATGAACACACCCACAATATGTTTGACTACATTCACAACATAGACATACACATTTATATAAAATGAGCATTTTGATGTAGGAATGAACTTGGAAAGTTTATTTACCAATATGAGAAAACTGCAATTTATTGTTGATTGTGTTTAGCTGAAAATCACACAATCAGCGGGTTGAAAATCACCTTTTTGCTCCACCAAAACACAAAAATCCTCGTCAAAAACCAATCTGTTTCTGGTTTTCAGCTCTCGAGGTTCCTAGAATTCTGATGAAGCTGCAGCAACACGATCACATTTCACTTTCATAATAAGATGTGTGTCGGTTCACACTGAGCCATCGCAGCTTTATTTTGAAGGGGCTGACAGGAAACTACATGTGTGAAGCTTTCTTTCTTTACAGTGAAACCTCTAGAAGACTCCAGACTGTGACGCTCCACAGATATAAGGCAGCTCTGAGAGCAGGGACAGCACAAGATCGACCCTGTTCACAAGAGGAAACACTGAGAGCTTCATCAGTCAGAGTTCACACCGACAGCCGAGACTGTAAGTTGTCACTTTTGTGATTTTTCTCTCTGCATTTCTAGGACACAAACTTTATTTATTGATGTAGTAGTTATTTTTAATATTACATGTTTTATTTGACAGAAAAATAACAAACGAACAGTAAATGAATAATTTATGATGGACCAGCCTTTTTTGATGCCAAATTAAATTGATGGTTTATTCTTTATGAGCTCAGTCTAAAAATAGAAATGTAATAATCCCGTAGGAAAGTCTTGTGCCAGACATTTCTCAGAAAAAGAAACCATGACATTAGAGTACACGCAGTTTGTAATAGAAAAGCAAAACAAGATATAAGCATGATACATTAGACATTGGAGAAAAAAAAGTAAGAAATAATGCTGGCAATGATTCTGAATAAGTAAAATAATATTCAACATGGAATAAAAACATTGTTCACAATAATGAAAGAAATTAAATTATTATTTACAGTGATCAATATTTTATTTGTCATAAAAAAACAAAACAAAACAAAACAACAGTAAATAGAGAATATATGATGGACCACACTCTATTGATGCTTTAATACATTGGTGATTTAATCTTTATGAACTCAGTCTTCCAGTGCTGGGAGAGCTATTTTTATAAAAACAAAAAAATAGAAAATAAACACACTTACAGAAGGTATAATACTCTCTATACGTATTAACTTTCCTAATTTTGTTTTCTAATTTGTTCAGGACACAAAGCGTAAAGAGCCAAGATGTCTGCAGGTAAAGGCGTAGCGATCGGCATCGACCTGGGCACCACCTACTCCTGTGTGGGGGTTTTCCAGCACGGAAAAGTAGAAATCATCGCCAACGAC